CCTGTGTGGGTGCTCTGCTTTCCTTGCTGCCCCTGGTTTGAATTTTGAGCAGCACTTGCAGGATTTGCTGCATCTTTATGTGGGAAGAGAGTAGCACAGTTAATGTTATGCATCTGTTTCACTCATTAAAGCAGAAAACTAGAATTTCTAAGTTTTATACATGTTTTTTTAACTTTATATTTGAATTTGCTCAACTTCTGCATCCTAGTCCCCAGAATAGATGAGGCACAACACTCACAGGTGACCCCAATTCAAGCAGCATCTCCTGTGGAGACCTAATCTGATTTTACTCACCTAAAACTGGGAGGATTCAAAAAGAAATCCCAACATACTGAAGATGTTTTCTATTTCAAAGCTTTCCATATGCAACCTTTCCATAGTTCTAGACCAATCTCCTTTACCTTTGCACAGTTTAGTCTTGACCTAGAATAGTCTCAGTTACACCTAAGAGTTGGCATCTCTTTGCAAAATTGACCTCTTGTTTACAATTTTATACTAATCACCTTACTGACCTTTCAGTATTGAATTTATTTGCTGTTGCAGTGCCCTACTCTCTACTGTCTGAATATTAAATGTGTTTGTTTTCCCAGAGGGCTAGAGAACATTGGACAAAAGGGTTCAGCAGGAGAGAGTGAAATAAAAAGAGGTTGTGAGTCTTTAACCTTGAGCCTGAAATGAATGTGAACCAAACTCCAGATACTTGGCTTAGATGAAGCCAGGTAAACATTCGAGTATAAGCCCACACACTACCAACCAGAACACAGCTCTTGGTGCTTACCAGGCTTTGCAGATTTTGCCTAGATGGTTGTACTTAGGACTGACATTCTGAATATCACCTTTTTCTTCTGATGGGAAAAAAAAAAAATTGTAGTATCTAAAATTCTATTTCTTTTTTTTTTTCTTTTTTTTTTTTTCTTGCCTGATGCAGTATAATAAATCTGACTTTCAAGGTGGGATGAAGCTGAAGAGTTTTTTTCTGTTACAGCTCCAGAGAAGAAAGAAGTGGAAACTTATAGCAATGTCAAAAATGTCCTGAAGTGTTGTCCCTGCAGTCTTTTGTTAAAAGCAGTTCATTTTTTTCTGTTGTCTCCATTACTGTGAGAAAAGGGAGCTGTATCTCACTGTTTGTCTTCCCTTGGCATTGTCAGTCTCATAAAGAAACACCATTACATGAACTCTACATAGTTCATACTAAACCAACACTTCCCAGGTTCTATCCATCATGGATGTCCCTGCTTTTCCATGCTTTTACAGCCATAACAACATCCCAAGTTCATCTGCTTTATTTTATCTTCAAAAAAAACCTGGCTGGGCTTTGTTTCAGCAGAGCCCCCAAATATTTTGACACCAGATATTACCTCAAATCTTGAATTTAAAAGAATTTGTTGCTGTTGGGCCATGTAACTCTGGGTAACTCATATTTTTAAATCTGGGAGTTGTATCAGCTATAATAGGTAAATTAAATATTGTAGTATTATGGTAGAGAAATTAAAATGCCGCCTTTATATGCAACAAACACTCTGCCTTTGTTTCTACTAAGTTTTGTCCCTGAAAGCAATAATTTGATCCATTGGGGGACAGGCTTTGAAGGAGATTTTGAATTTTATTGCAATGCAGGAATTCTGCCACTGAATGATATGTAACATTAAAAAACAAAAAGGTTTTCTTCTGGATGCTAAGCTCAGTATGCAAAATTTAAAGTTGAAGAGGGAGTTTCTTCTAAAGTGAAAAATCAATGGAAAACTAATATACATCTCTGTAGAGAGATTTGAAGTGAAATTATGGGTTTCTACAGCTCCCTTGTGAAGAAAACTCTTTAGAAATGTAATTTGATTTATTGTCAGCTTGAGGGACTTGCCCAGTTTGGCCCTTCCATTACCATTGCCTTCAGAAGGTGAATTAGCTCAGGTGTTAGCAGAGCTGAAGCAGTTCCAAGCGAGTATTTCCAGTGCAAACCAGTGTGAACAAGTAGAAGCCATTCTAGAAACATCTCAAAGTTCTTACAAGACCCAAACAGTCCAGGCCAAAAATTTTGCCACACACCTTCACCCAAAGTGAGAGGCTGCAGTTCTATCTTCAGACCATGCAGCTCAAAGTCATTATTGCTCCCCTGCAATGGCTCATTAATTAATTAATTGATTCCAGAGTCACTGCAGAGCCCCAAATTCAGGTCATGGCAGGCACGTTTGCAGAGCTGCCTGTCAAACACAGCTGGAATGTGCAGTTTGCCCTGCACTGACTAGGGGCTGGGAATTAATCCAAAAGAGATGCCAAATGTTGGTTTTAAAGCAATACAGATGCTTTTCCCACTGTGGGACGTGGAGCTTACAAATTGACATCAGTTCCTGCCCTGCTAAATCATGGAGACCTAAATATATTTTGTGTGATGAAGAAAAGCTTTCCTTTCTTTGGATTCTGCTGGATCTGTTCAGGATAATATCAAACCCTTTCATTTAAGTAAAAATTGACCTTCACCATAAAGATCCAGCTGGCAAATAGAACCTAAGTCTGTGCCATAAGGAGTGGCTGTTCCCAAGATAACAGAATTATCTTGTTAATTGATAAGCTCTAGCATCCAGCTGCAGCTGAAGAGGTGACTGGTATTTGTGTTTAGAAAGCAGAAATAGTGGGGAGGTTTGCAGAAATGTCACCTCATCAGCCCATGTTATAAAGTACCCAGGGTACAAAAAGTTTCCTGATTTAAACTAGGGCAATATGGGGATGTGGTTTTAAGGCTGCCTCAACAGTCATACCATTTTGTTCCTCATTTAGGCTAATTACTCTGCACTTTAAAAGACAAGCTAGGAGGGTACAGATAGTGAAGGGATTTGTCACCTTTTCTAGCTTTAGCAATGCAGATCAATCCCTTACCCCACTCTGCTGACTCTGCAGAGCCCTCAGCTCAGATTCAGCTCTGATAAACCCCTGGTTTTTAATTCCAGGAGCTCCCTTAGGTACACTGTATGATTGCAGTGGGTGAAACTGCTTTGAAATGCATTTGTTGATATTTATTTTTTTGTGCAAGACAATCTTTCCTCTTGCACCTCTGCCAACCTAACGTGTTCTCACACCCCAAGGTCTGGCTGAGCCGTTCTGTGCCACTCCAATCCTCTCACCTGGAGCATAAGCAGTCACATGAGCTACTTTTTGTGCTGTGCCCTGCTGTTACCAAATGTACCTGTGGAGGGAAGGGAGAGTACTTGGGCTGACCCAATGATCTCAACATGGCAGGACTTCAGCTGTTAGGATTTTTACAAGATGGCGAATATCCAAATTTAGAGAGCATAAACAAGGACCGAGATCAAAGAGAAAAAAACCAAAACTGAACCAAGTCAGCCTCCTCCTCAAACGTGCTGAAATTCTGTACAGCTTGGCCAGCTCCAAGCATGGGATCAGCTGGACCCCACAGCTGGACCCCTGTGGCCCTGTGCCATTACTGAAGTGCAGTCTGCCAAGGCAAAGAGGAATTAAAGCTTTCCAAAGCAGTGGTGTATCAGGCCAACCAACAATGTGCAGCATATTTACATGTAAAAAGATCCACATGCCCACCACCAAACCATTTCAAACGTGTGTGGAGAAGCTTTCACAGTACCTGCTTGCACCTTTTCTGCCTCTGCCTGTGTTTTAGTCTCCCCCCTGAGAAATGCTCAAGGTTTGCTCATGGACTACATGGAAGTAGAGGGATAGAACTCATACTTAGTCATGAAACATTTGCCAACAGATCACGTTTTGCCATTCTGTTTTTTCCTCTCTGCCCCTCCACCCCCTTCCAAAAAGTTCTGTTTTTTTCAGCAGTAACCCAGCACAACCCTTCACTTCTTTTGAGAACTGGTAGGTCCCTGGGACTAGAGAGCATCCCTCCCTTTGCCCACCCACAGAGGACGTAGCATCCCCACTCTTGCTCTACTCCTCCCATTTCCTACTGGGAACACAGTGGGCACCATCCCTGAGAATCGCTGGGCTGAGTCTTGAGTTGATTTTCACCTCTGTTCTTCCTGCCAGGTGGTTTCTGGCATTAGGTGGCCCCTGGCCCAGGTCACTGACCTGCTTTAAAGACTGCAGAAATGGCATAAATCATGTGGCTTTCAGCATTTAACTGCACGACTGAGACACCAAATCCAAACAGCTCACTGTTAACAACGGGACTCAATTCAACCCAACAACCAATCCATCATTTTATTACATGTTCTTCTATTTATTAACAAGCTGAATGGCTAGAACAGTGGGTCTATACTCGAGTGTTTACCTCACATCTGCATGAAGGACAAATAAAAGTTGGTTCAACGATACTATGTTCACATTATCCAGGCTTCCAAGTGTAGTTGTTGTGTGCAAGTTATCTCTGTTCATGTGGAAACTGTGATTTTTATTTTTTTTTCCCCCTGTGGTAGCATGATTGCGCTTAGTACTTTGTCTGCTTGGCTTTTTGTGCTCTTGGCTGCATCCATTTAGATTTTGCTTTAAAACATTGATATTCTAGTTTTTACACTTGGCTCCTGTGTGTGTCTCATACGTACCCATCCAACCGTGTCCGTGTTCCGTGCTTTTCTGTTTGTGAAGTGTGATATGTTATGTGTAATGGTTTTTTTAACAACAATACAAAAGAGACTTTTTAATTTGAAAAAAGCCTTTCTACTTACTCACTGCAAAAACAAAAAAAAAACTATCAACATGCATGGTTTGACATTTGCATTACAATTAACATGGCTTGTCTTTTACTAGGGATGTACCACACGAGTGGACCTTGGCTTTCTTTAACCACTCCTCCCCATCAGTTCTTTGATGGCTTTAAACCTTGGTTTATTTTAATATTGCAGTTGGTACAGACATTCAAAATGCACATAACTGAGCCACTCGTTTATGCATATAACATCCAGAGACTTTGGACTCCAGCTGCCTGCACTGCCCTAACCATGTGCTACATTTTTCACCAAGTGTTCTCTGCCCCGCTGTGCCCTGGGGAGGTGCCCTCTGACAGCCCTTTCCTTTTCTCCCCCCAGATCCGCGTCGTGAAGGCATTCCGTAGCTCTCTCTATGAAGGTTTAGAAAAACCAGAATCTAGAACCTCTATTCACAACTTTATGACTCATCCTGAATTTAGGATAGAAGATTCCCAGCCCCACATCCCACTCATTGATGACACAGACCTAGAAGAAGACCCTGCTCTCAAGAAAAACTCGAGTCCACCGTCCTCGCTGAACAAGAACAACAGTGCTATCGACAGTGGAATCAATCTTACAACGGATACAAGTAAATCAGCTACCTCTTCTAGTCCAGGAAGCCCAATACATAGCCTGGAGACATCACTTTAGCTGAAAAGGTCACTGCAAAAAGGAAAAAAAAAAAAAAAAAGAAATATAAAAAGTTAAAGTAAAATAAAATAAGAAACCCCACAGCAACCGAGATATATAAATATATATATTAAAAACATTGCTGGCTGAAAAGCTGTTTGAACTCTTATTCACTCTGAGACAAGTGAATGAATTGTTGATCACAATGGTTTTGGGGAAAGAATGAATGGCTGATTTACATACCCCCTGTTCCCTTTCAGAAAAACAAAAACAAAAAAAAATCCTCCTGCATGAATGTACTGTACACTGCTGGCCCTTCTTTCTCTCTTTTTATTTGTTTTTATTTCCTTTTTGGTTTTTTTTCTTTGGGTTTTTTTTTGTTGTTTTTTTCCTCCTTAAGCAGGAACTGCAGAGGACTTCTTTCTGAGGCTATTTATCCAATTCACTGGTCTGTGAGTTTTTGAAATGCTTGTGTGGCATGGACTCAATTGTATAGATTAATTTAAATAACTTTTTTGAAGTTGCAAAGCTTAACTTGCACAGTAGATTTGCACCAGTTGGACAGAGGAACTTAAACATTTATGAGACTATATATAGAGATATATACATATAAGTATATAGATAATTAATTATATATATGTATATATCTATCTATATATATATAGTTATATATATATAAAGTTTCTTTGTTGGCATGTTGCCTTGTTTCTGCTCAAATTGCTCTGACTATTTTAACTTATTTATGTCCTAAAAAAGAATGTAATTTGTTTACAAACCTGTAGATAATATCCTTAACTATTTGTAGGGTTAAGAAAGCACTTCCTGCCGAAGTAGTATAAAAATGGCTCAGCTCAGCTCATTGAAAATGTCTGTACTCTCGCACCCTGGATATTTTATTACAACCGTGCTCTGATTTCTGCCTGATTTCCTTTTTGGGTTGTTATTTTGGTCTTTTTTTTTTTTTTTTTGTTTTGTTAATAATGTAGATACTGCTAGTAAATAACAAAAGAAGCCAAAATATAACACATTGGATGTAGCATTGTGATCCTATATACAGGGAGGTAAACCAGGCTTCCTTTGTTTCAAATAAAAATCAAAATGATCAGGTTCTCTCCTTTTTTTTTTTCCTTCCTTCCCTCTGATGATCTGCTTGAACTCCTTTTGGTGCAACATACAATAATGGAGGCTATTTCATTCTTCAGACATACAGCAATGGCTTCGGAAACTATTTTTAGAGAGACATTAAATGAGTTTATAATTTAAAATAAGTTATATTTGGTTTGTCTATATGGAGATAAAAGAAATGTTAAAATCTTGTGATATACTGTGTTAATCCTTTTCAATTAGTACTTTAGGCATTTATTTCCTTCTTATTTGCAAAGTATGGGCTGTTGGCATTTTGGATGAAAATCACTGTAGGTTGTTGCTTTGATTTTTTTTAAAAAGAAAAATATAATTTCTGCACTATTAGGACTGAACAAATCTTTATTAATTGTGTATTGAGATGTGCTTTGTGTGATTTTTTTTAATCAAGCTTGTGTTCCTGCAGTAACACAGTAATACATTATTTTACCTTCAGCTTTCTCCCAAGAAAGCTGCTTTGAAAACCTGCAGTATGGAAGGCGAAAAACATTTTTCAAGATGGTAACAGCCCTCGAAACGTAAAAATTATGAGCTTATACAATTGCTATGTCAACCACTTGAATGCTAAGCACTTTGTGGATCACAGATTTTTCATAACTAATTTTTGTATTTAATATAAAGTTTGCTTGGAGACTTTTCAGCATATGATTTTTTCCATAACTGTACAGTGCAAAAAGACATTTGGAATTCCACAATCGATTATGCCAGGCGTGTTGGGACAAAACACCCTCCAACCATCTCGATCCGTTGAGTTGTTAAGGTGTTTTTTTTCTGGTTGGCTCCATAACAGTGGTGCATCTCTGCAGTCACAGCAGCTTAACCAAGCCAGAACTCTCCAAACCAAGCTTAGACCCATGGCCAAACTGCAGACTGATGTTTTCAGGGTGCATCAGGACCCTCAGCCAGGTAAAGCTGTGAGCAGCTTCCCTTGCCAGCTGCGGGACTCTGGGCTGGGAGCTCTGCTGGCTGTGCCCAGGCTGCCCGGGGCGGCAGTGGCACCTGGCAGGAGCCCCAGGGGCAGGCAGGGTGCCCAGGGTGGCAGTGGCACCAGCAGGAGCCCCAGCTGTGCCCCAGCAGCCAGGGCAGGAGCCCCAGCTGTGCCCCAGCCCAGGCAGGAAGGTGCTCTGGAACTGGGGACACCCATGGGCTCCCTGGGGCCAGAAGACAAAAGTGGTATCTGTATTTACAGGGAAGCCTCTAGCTTTGGACTTGAACATCTACAGAAGCTATTAATACTGGAACAGTTTCTTTTCAGCATCTTAACACACTGACTGTTTGCCTTTTTGTTTTCCAACACTCTTCATGGTTTTTTCTCGGTTCCGTTTTTGGGTTTTTTTTTTTTAATTATTTTGGAATTTTTTCCTGTAGGAGTACCCCTCCCTAAGGTACCATTTGCAGACTTGAAAACTGTTATAAGAAAATGAACACTGCATTCTGTGTATATATAGTAAAACATATATAAACTGAGATGCATAGAAAACTTGGGCTTTTGTGAGCAGAGACTGTGCTTTATGTATATGATAAATGATAGACTTTTTTTTTTTTTTTAAAGCAGAATAGCTATGACCTTTCAACTACAAGTCGTGCATCACAATTCCTTTCTTTTATTGCTTGACCTCTCTGTGATGGGAACAATGGATCAAAAACCAAAATGATCAGTTTGTTAAAATTCCCTGCAATATATAAATGCTCGCTCTCTACGTACTGTACTTAGCAGCATGAGATTTGTGGACAACAATACAGTGGTACATTGGCAATCCATCCCACTAGGGGTTATTAATATATGTTCATTCATCTGTTTTTATGAATTTTTTTATCTAGACAATAATTGTAAATAAAGAACTTACTCTGTCTGTTCATTTAATACTATGCAAAAGGTTATGCTTTCTATTGTTATTCTTATTCCTACAGTGTGATGCTGGAATGTTTGTGGTTTCAAAAAAAAAACAAACAAAAAAGACAAAAGTAAGTAAAATATGTGATGTAAATTATTTTATAGTTTGAAACAAAATGATAAAGATTTACTCTTGCTGCTTTCTGTCTAATAGATCTCTCTTGGCAGGAGCACAAGTGGAAAATTTAAAGAAATAAATTCACAAAGCAGCATGAACAATAATGGTCTGAATGTACCAGCTTTCTTTATTCTCACCTGAACTCCCGAGGTGCCGCTCTGGATTCCTGCTGGGATGTTTGGATGGATGCACATCTGGACTGGCAGTGAGGACTCTGCTCCCCAGGCACACTTGGCTTTCCTTGCCCCAGGGGCTGAGCAGCCCCCAGGGTTTCATTCCTGCCTGGGCTGGGAAGCCTGGAGGTGGGGATGCTCCTGGCAATGCTGCAGGAGCCAAACCATGAAGTGAATTTGCTTAGGGAGCAACAATCTCAATCTTGGCCCTAGGAACAGCAGCTCTCTAGGGCTGTCATTGATGGCTTTCCCTGTCATTCATGACAGCTCTGCACTTACACTGATTTTTTTTCAGCTCTTTCTCCCTCTGTCAGAGTGAGAAAAATGAACTTGGAATTTTTAGAACTGGGGAGTGCATCAGGACTCTCAGCCAGGAGAATTAGAATTGGGGAGTTCAGTCCAGGACTCATCCTGCCACTGAAGACCAGGGAAAAAAGAGGGAATTCTCATCTCAGTGCTCAGGCCCTGAGCCCAAAGTTCCTTCTCTTTTTTTTTTTTTCCAGCTTAGGTTGATGCAGTTGTGCTCATAAAATATTGTTGCTATAGGAGATAGCCAAGCAGGCCAGGTATGAGGTGAGCGGCTGTCAGATAATCTCATTTATAAAGGTAAAATGCTTCAGATTACAGATTTTCCTGTCTTCTCACTAGATTTCAAACTTGAATTCACCAATTCTCTGTCAGAAGTTATACTTGATAGGGGCCAAAATGAAATAGTGCTACAATGGGAGGAAAGTTACCAACAAATAAAAATGGACTCAGTGAATTCAACAAAACCCCAGGAGAAAACAATTCTTTAGACAGCAGATTTCTTGGACTAACAAGCTGTAACTTACAGCTACATTGGAATGAAACTGTTTTCTGATTTGATTTTGGGAGCTCAGGGTAGGTAATAATCAGAAAATATTTTACTTTCATGCCCTGTCAGTCATTTCCCTCCTCCTTACACACTTAAGTTAATTTGCAGTGTTAGTCTGAGTGCTTTGGGCAGGACTCTCCAGCTCTGCAGAGAAGCTCCTGTGAGCAGGTGCAGGCAAGAAGAAGCTCTGGAGTTGTTGTCCAGTGTGATTTGAGCACTCTGGGAATGCTGCAGCCCCAGGGAGGTGCTTTAGGAACTTCACCTTGGCGGGAGAGTTTGTGAAATATGGGATGGATGTGAGCTGTAGGTGCAAACTGGGGAGAAAATCAGGAATGAAATTCCCCACAAGGCTGGGGAATTCCTGCTCTATGCAGCAAACTGAGGCTGCAGAAAGGCAAATATTGGAAACTGTTCATCCATGAGGGAGGACCAGGGCAGCTACTCAGATTCAAAACAGCAATGCTGGAAGTTTTCAGCTGTTTTATGCCAAGAGCACGAGGGTAAACATTGTGACCTCTGTAAGAAAACCAGGTGGAGATTTGTTGAGGTGCTGCACTGATAAAGAAGAGGGAAATGGTGCATAAATGGCAGATAAAGGAGAGGAAAAAGGGGGAAATGAGGGAGAAAGAGGAAGAAAATGCAGGTGCAACTATAATATAAACATATATATCTTCTGAAATGAAATGGAGCTATAATTGCTGGTTACTGCCTTGATCTGGCACTGAGTTCCAATCCAAGATCATTCCCTGTCTGAAGCCCCTTGCAAAGAAGTCCCAAAGCAGCTGGGAGCAGGTGACCTCCAGCACCCCAGTGGCCCTGGGTGCCCCATGGCACCACCTGAGGAGCTGCCAATGGGGGCACAGGGAGCTCCAGGGCTCAGCTCTGCCCCCTTCCCCTTGGCTTTCCAGCACTTTCAGAGTGGCTTTTGAGGAACCACTGAAGGTAAGCACTGGATATTTGCCATTTGTGTTTGTATTCCTGCAGCTGTGTGAGACATTGGCAGAATGGAACGTCATCATCATCATCAAATAAAATAAAATAAAATAAAATAAAATAAAATAAAATAAAAATAATAATAATAACAATAATAATAATAATAATAATAATGTATTCCTGGCTCAGATCCAGACAAGGGTCCATGTGTGCATTGCCCTGGGATATGAACTACAAATCCATATTTCTGATTTTATGAAATCCATGTAGGGAATGCCCAGGTTTGATCACCAGCACACTGCTGTAGGAGGTGCTGGGAAAAACAGGGAAGTGTTTGATTCTGTTTTTCTTTTTACAAGCAGCTTTTAACAGGCACATTATGCTCTAACCTGATGGGAACTGAAGAGAAGGATGATTACACAACTCATTTATTAAACAGGGCAGACCACTGACAAACACAAACCCAAGGAAATATTTACAATAACATTTTCTCCCACATGTTCAAACAAACTGATTTTCTGTCAGTCTGGGAGCCCATTTTGCCTGGTAATAAGTGAAGTGTTAAATCCAAGTAAGGGAATGTACTTCACTCCTTCCTCTGATGGATTTGGTTGATTTTCCAGCAAATTACAAAGCACCTCCCTCTACCCCTGGTGTGTGGGCATTTAAGAATCTCTGAGTTGAGCTGGTACAAAATCAGCATTGTTGGTGCACAGCAAACAGCTTTTACATGATTATGAAAATCAGAAAAATCAGTTATGCAGCTTCCTTGAAAATTGTCACAGAGCATTTATGG